CCAGGAAAGCAGCTTGTACAATAAGCCGCCGTTGTTCCCTGTCACTTTTTAGGGAAGGGGATTACAGCACAGGCAGCTTAAGAGGAGCAGGTGAGGGGAGATACGTGGGGATAAGGAAAACACAATCCCAGCCCCGCTGGTGCCAGGGGGTGTCCCGGCGAGTTCCCCACAGGATGACATTCAGCCCTGGAACCCTCACCCGGTTCTCTGCACTCTAAACCGTGTTCTACAGCACCTCGTCCCCCGGCACCTCCCTGTGATCGAGGTGTGGGGCTGCAGGGACATGGCCACCACGGTGGAAGTGCCACCAGGGTGTGTGTGGGGCCGGCCTGGGGCTGGAAACTGAGCACTGCTCTGGTGGGAGGCTGCTGCAAGCCCCACGGTGGCAGGTCACAGGGATGCTCCAGGATTGGGGCCATCCGGTCACCTCCCTGCCTGCGGCAACGTCCCCAAGCAGCCGTTGTCTCCTCTCCATCCCTGATGCTCACCCTGCAGCTGCCTCCAGCCCCAGTCTTAGTGTCAGCAACGCGAAAGAGCTGCGAGGGCTTTGGCACAAGGGAAAATCATGGAGTCATGGAATGGTTTGGGTTGGAAAAGATCTTAAAGCTCCTCCAGCTCCAATCCCTGCCCCGGGCAGGGACACCTTCCACTAGAGCAGGGTGCTCCAAGCCCCTGTGTCCAGCCTGGCCTTGAACACTGCCAGGGATGGGGCAGCCACAGCTTCTCTGGGCACCCTGTGCCAGCGCCTCAGCACCCTCACAGGGAAGAGCTTCTGCCCAAGAGCTCATCTCAATCTCCCCTCTGGCAGGTTCAAGCCATTCCCCTTGTCCTGTCCCTCCATCCCTTGTCCAAAGCCCCTCTCCAGGTTTCCTGGAGCCCCTTTAGGCCCTGGAGCTGCTCTAAGGTGTCCCCTTCAGGAGCCTTCTCTTCTCCAGCTGCCCCAGCCCAGCTCTCTCAGCCTGGCTCCAGAGCAGAGCTGCTCCAGCCCTCGCAGCAGCTCCAGGGCCTAAAAATAAGGGTAAAACCTTTTTTTCCCCCTGTTGCCAGTGTCTCAAGCATTCCCGTTGGCGGCCCCATGAGCTGGACTAGGCTGGTGTATGCGTGCGTTCTTCCCTAAGGATAATGGCTTGGATAATGAAAGCAAAAGGAAGCGGACAGGATCTCTATGCCTGGCGCTGGATGAGGATAAAAGGGACTCATGAGCTGGACTAGGCTGGTGTATGCGTGCGTTCTTCCCTAAGGATAATGGCTTGGATAATGAAAGCAAAAGGAAGCGGACAGGATCTCTATGCCTGGCGCTGGATGAGGATAAAAGGGACTAAGAGAGCTGGGGAGCATGAGGTGCAGAAGCGAGCGGCGGTGGACAGGACGAGGAGGCAGCTGGGAGAGGCACACGGGTGGCTCAGCGCGCGGCCGGAGCATCCGGGCTATGCTGGGGGATTCCTGCC